ATTGCAGGGGTGATTTGTGCAACTCACTATAGCAGGTGTTAAACATGCGACGGCTCTTTTGTTGCGGTTTTAGGACTCGAGTGTAGGCAGACGAAAGAGTTTGCAGGCGGTGCATGTATGGCAGGACATATGTTTGCTTTTGTTGGGAACAGCATGGCGAAGAAGCAGGAAACAGGATGGGTGGAGTTACACTGGAGGAGGTTTGTGCTGTGAGAGAGATGAAAATAACCCGTAAAATGCAATTCACCTGTTCATTAATAAAGTAATCCGCACAGCTGTTTAGTGAACAGTCATAATTTAAAGTTGAATATCCTCAGTGTGATGTAGTGAACCGAACATTTGGATCAGGGTTGGTGGAAACTTCAAATCGTGTCTTTACAAATGTGAAATGTCTTCAATTGTCCTGATTCAGGACACACAGCCTTGAAACGTGCTTGCAGAGCGATTCATAGAACTGGTGCCGACTTAATATGAGCAGGAGCCGTGACATCTCAGGCCTCAGTGCAGCGACGGTTAAAGCAAACTTTAATGAAACATCTGAGCTGAACGGCGCGCACGTCTGTGTTTGAACAGGGGCTTATAACGGCAGACATGAAAGACTCGAGCGCCTTTGGAGCTTTTCTGGTTTCACATGTGGCTCAGCTGCTTGGATTCCCAATTTAAAAAAGTTATCAGCACATCTTGGACCCACACATCTTTAAACTTGCGTTTCCCCACATGCTAGCTGCTGAGTCTGTTACAGATCTGAGACAAGGCGTTCGTTATCTTGCCCAAGAACACTTCGACATGCAGCCAGGAAGACTGAGATTGAACCACGGACCCCCTGGTTAGTACCTCCTAAGGCCTCGGCCACACAGGACTGGAGATCAGTTGGCAGCAGCTATGCTTGGGAAAAATGTGTATTCCTGAACTGATTGCTTTCTGTCATCAAGTCACAAAGAGGGAGCTGAGCCTTAAACAGAGCAGCAAGCTGTTCCCCTGGAGTTTGCATTGAACGTGTTGATTTGTTTGCAGGTAGTTAAAGTCGCTAGCTATCAGCCGAGCGGCCCTTTGCTGCATGTCTTCCCTCACACTCTCCCTGCTTTGCTGTCCTCTCGTCACTCTCTAGTAAACTGGAACGTAAAAAGGCTTCAATCATTGGTCCATTCCAGAAGCAACAATCTGTTGGACTTGATCAATCCCAGGGCTCCTCCCATTTTACCACCATTGCCCTCCACACTCTCTGAAGGGAAGATGATCAACCAAAAAACCAACAAAACTCAGGAAACACAGTGGAAGTGTGACGAGCTAACAGCTATTTACTGTTAGCTTGATTAAAACTCCCATCACCTGCATCTTTTTCTCACAGCAGTGATGAATCCTCTGCTGGTTTCTGTCACTTCCACAGCTGGTCCGTCACATTATTGTGTCCCCAGAAACACTCAGGCAAAAACTCCCCAGGAACACGGAGAGGCTGACCAAGGACCAGCTCAGCCGGAGAAACCCCGAGGTCCTCCTTTACTGAGCTGCACAATCCCACGGAAGATGGTCGACCCAGTTGCCACCCGCTATGTAGGCAGTTGGCAACAGTGAGAAGGAAAACCACCCTTTTAACAGGAAGAAGCCTACATATGTGAATAATCTTCGGAACATGCGGTCATACTTTACTTTTTAAACTTTAAACTCCACTCTTCAGTCACCCGGCTGCTTATTACTGTGTCAGCCCCACTTTCTGCCACCAAAAACTGCCGAGTCAGCAACTCTAAAATCTGCCCTTTGTAATTGGGATCAAAGAGTTTTGAGGCTCATTAATCAGCCTTCAACTCTTTGTTGTGTTTCTTCGACTTTAGATTGATTGCATTGTCGTTCTGGAAACCACTTCACCGAGTGTTTGGTCTGCACTAATGTTTAGGTGCTGTCTAACTCCCCGGCAGATGATCGTGTTCGCTGTTTTCTTTATCAGTCAGAGGTTTTAAAGGGGACATGAAACGCGACACAAGGCTAATTTACACCACTGAGCCCTGCTCTCATAACCTGACATGGATGCAACTGTCTGTGAAGCTGGATTTAAGAAAGAAGAGCTTAAAGTTTCAAAACATGTTTAGCGCCATCTTCTGTCAGTGTGGAACGTGACATCATGTGGTTGGTTGGGGCTGTTGGGATTAAATAATTTGCAGTGCTTCAATAATGCTATGTTTTTTATTAACAGACTTGCATTCGTTTATGTTAGCTAAGCAATGGCAGAACCGATAATACAGAGGAAAATAACGACACTAAAACTAAAAATCACTGTAATGGGACCTTTAATGGTGTGGCTGGTGTTTAGTGGGGGAGTCGTGTTTTAGCCTGTTGGATGAACTTGCCCTTTAATTGTGCCAGTTTCCTTGCAGCAGACAGTGGCAGAGAGCCTGGGAGGTTTGACTGTGAGCTCAGAGATACCCGTGGGTCTACAGTCCACCTCCTCTCCCCTTGGCACTCATTATTAATTAAACTTGTTGGAAGTTTGAGGCTCACCAGTTTGCTGTGGCTGCGAGCAGAAATATAAACCTCACATCAATCCCCCCACCGTGTCTCTGACAAGCCTCATTCTTAATTGAAAACGCCCGACTGACTGCAATTTCAAAAGTGGATGATTGATTGATCAAGCCCAGAAGCTAGACAGCGTCCCCTGCGAGGAAGGCCTTCAAATCCACAGCGAGGCTGAGCAGAGTTCATTTGGATACTCGGAGAGATGAATGAGCACAAGCAGTCTGGCAAATTGAATTCTCACTCGTAGGCAGGAATTTCTTAATTGTGCGTGACAAATTTCCCAAACAGAATCTGGAAAGTTTCATCAGCCCGTCCATTTGTCTACCCGTCTGCCCCTCTCTAGGCCTTTCGGTCCATTTCTGCCCTCGATCCGCTCGCATAGATGTTTAAAACCGGACAGAAGCTCATTTTATACATGTTTATTATTCATTTTCTCACCACGAATTCCCCTTTGGCTTTTTCATAAAATGAAATGCATGCATCATCTCAACGATGGGGCTCGTGAGCGTCGTGCAGTAAAAAACTCCACCCAGATCCTGAAGTCTTTCTCAGCTGCAGCAGCTGTTGATATCTACTATCAGACCCCGCTACTGGTTTGATAGCTGGAGGCTCTACCTCCCATTTTACTTTTTAAAAAAATAAATAAATAAATAAATAACAGAGGAAGCGCAAGTAAACCGACAGTCTGAGAGAGAAGAGCTCTACTGAGGTCTTTAAGATATGATGTGGTCTGATTACTTGTGCTTGTATGTGAGGAGACGGATTCAAGGACACGATTGAAATCAACTGTAGCGCTTTCAGGATTTTAGTGGTTTGTGTTTGCATCATCGATGTTGTGTAAGAAAGGAGTTCTTGTTTTGGGGGGTTTCAGGTGGCTGAACATGGTCTGCTCTTTAGCATCATTCTTGTCTCTTCAAAAAACGGAACGGGGGAAGTAGGGGTGGGCGATATATCGAATATACTCGATGTATCGCGAGTTGTTCCGCATGCGATAGTTAAAATGGCTCTCAGTTGCCATGGCAATATTAAGCCATCTACATGTAATTTACTGGAAGTATTTTTTTTTTTTTTCCCACACGCTGCGAATACGTCATTAATAACCCCTCCCAACCTGAAAATGTTCTACCTGGTGCACTGCGCTGAGCATGTGTGTTTATATGCTACCAGAGAGGGGAAAATATGGCGACGGCAGGAGTTTCAGACGAGCGAGAGTAAGAGACTCACTGTTTGGATGTCGAACTAAATGCAAAACAAAGGGTAGCAGTACCCTGAAATTATTCCACTTGTAACGGCAGTCTGGCGAGGAAGGAGCAGCTAGCAGGTCCAGCGGGCGTGTGGTGTGGAGGTTAGCCGGATAGCTCGAAGCCAGTCAGTTAAATCAAACAGCGTTACATCGGTAAGGTTTCTCCTGAGAACAGAACACGAGCAGCATGTAATAGCTGCCGCTGTACTCACACACCCACTAGGAGACAACAGTAGGGCAACCCCCCACCTAGTGGTGCTATAACACCATAAGGGTTATTAAACACTGCATAATTAAAACAGTCTTAAACTGCCTATCAACATCTCCCCACACACCAAAGAAAACGTTAATTAAACCAGCGGCGCCACACGTGACTGCTCTAGATCAGTCATTTTTTTTTAGTCACTATCTAGATTTTATTTCTGTAATTTGAGTTAATCACATTTTATATTTTATACATTTTTATATCTTACAAGTAGCAAAGAACACCTTTTTTTTTTTTTTATTTCAATCGTTTTATTTTGTCTCGTGAATTCTTGATGTATTTTTTGTTTGTTAAAGGTCTGCTGTTGACCACAGCGAGAGACTTACTGTCACAGTAATTGATGGTTAAAAATTGGTTAAAATAAAACGTTTTATTCAGATTTTCTTGTATTTGAAGTAGGAAAAAATACTGAATAGTTGATATACATGAGTATACCCGTGCAGTTTTAGGCACTATATGGTTAAAAATAACATTTATTGTTCAAGGATATTTAAACATATTGTGATTTTTATATCATGTATTGCGATATAGTCCCCCCCGCCCAAAAAAATATCTTGATATTAGGTTTTTCTCATATTGTCCGGCTCCGACGCCTTTGTCCAAAGTCCGGCATGAACTCAGATTGTTGTTCTGTCCCCCCATCGTGGATATGACTGAAGAAACGATAAACCACGTGTAATTCTTTGATTAGTAGCTCTCATGAGAATGCTTAGCACATTCATACCTTACAGTAATTACAGTATGGCGCTTCTTTGGTGATGGTATACACAACACTGTTAGTGACTGCAGGAGTTCAGTGGTTTGTTCTGATAAAGGACCGGAGACCATGTGTTCTAGCTGACAGGAAATTTGAATACTGATTTATGCTGAGATATACTTTTTTTTTTTTCTGTGGAGATAATAAAATGATAATTGGGTGGTATTTTCAGTAGAGCAGTGTTTGAGTCCTTAACCTGTTTACACTCCCTGTTTCTACTTGTCCAGGTGCGATATTTGAGGAGAACGCAGTGCAGGATGATCAGGTGTTCCAGCTCGCCGTGTCTGACCTCAGTCTGAACGACGACATCCTGCAGAGTGAGAAGATCACACACTCGATTAAACTCATCGCGCCCAACAACCCTTTCCAGGCGGTGCAGGAAGGTAAGGCCGCTGCTGCGTTTACGTCACGTGATGGCGGGAGTGTCAGATGATTTTCGACCGCAGTGCTTTCTGCACTTTCCTGCTTTCCTTGCTTCTTACACTCCTGCCTTGGATTGTTAATCTTTAGATTGTGCGGGTGCCGCCTCTCGCTGAGGTATCCTCACAGCTAATGACCCAGGTATCAACCTCCTAAATGCTGTTTAAATCACGGCAGCTGCAGCCGCTCTGCCAGAGCTCTCAGAGGACGCTGTTTGTCTTTCATGCAGCTCCACAGAGCCCGTCCTTTGCCTCTTCTTTCCTGTTTCTCAGGGTTTCCTCTGAGATTCATTCTCTCAGTCTTCTCTCTCTCTCTCTCCCTCGCTGTTTTCCCTGCAGAGGAAGCTAGGGGGAAGCACTGAGCCCAGCTGCACAGACGGCCTCTCAGCTTTGAGAGGAGCTTGTGTGGCTGTGAACACATTTGTTTATGTGTACGCTCGTGGCTGCAGAAAAGGCCGTGATGATGTGGATGATGAAGCTCAGACTGGAGGATGCTGATTGTTTTGCTGCAGTTAATGACGATGATGTTGATGCTGGTGATGAGACGACTGTTGTGACGATAATGGATATAACTGGTATTGATAATGATGCTGATGAATGTTACGATGGTGCTGATTATAATGTGAGTGTCGAGGATGAGGATCCCTGCAGTGATTAGGATGACGATGATTAAGGGGTATTAATGTGTGTGTGTGTGGGGGGGGAAGGTGACGCCGTCGCAGACACGAAAGAGGATGAAAGCGTGGTGCTTATGTTGGTATTGCCGTTCGAGGATGATGGTGATGATGCACTTGTTGCAGCCGGTGTTCATTTCGACACAATTTCTTTCTGAAAATATCTCAAGTTCAGCTTCGGTTTTCTTTATTTGCACCCACAGGTAGATCTGGTTTGCAGCAGGTAAGTCATCCATCCTCAAATGCACATTTTTCAAAGCGACACAAACAAAAGATAAGTGTATTACAACACAGCGCTGGGGAAAATTGCTTCCACATCATGTAAGATATATAAAAGCTGCGATTTGTTCATCTGAGTGGTGGCTGCTGGAACAAAGCTGTTGTTATACTCTGAACCGCTCAGCACTTTGGGACTTAAAAGCTTTTGTCCAGATGGAAGAAACCAAATCTCAGCGGAGTTTGCAAACAGTGATGAAGTCCTGAAGTGAAACCGAATATCTGCTGTATTCGTGCCGTGAACAGGGATGTTGGGTTAAGCTGTCCGATCAGCTGATTAGCTTCAGCATGTATCAATTTGACTGAATGAGTTTCTGCTCTTTACAGATGAGGATCCAAACTGTGACGCTGAGAAAACAGGACAAAGCAGATTCAGTAGAAGCTCGATAGAATAAAAATGCATAAGCAATGCAAAGAGTTTCTAAGTTTACCTCCACAGACTCATACCAGACACATTTAGGTATGAAAATGATCCAACAGTACATGTAAGCACGGGTAAAATCCTGATTTTGTTCCAGTTGTGGCTGCTGTCAAAAATCAAGCCTCGTCTCGATTGCTGCAGCTTGATTTGTATCAGAGTTAGCCGGGCCTCCATTGCTCAGTCACAGTAAGAGTGCAAGTTTAGCAGATTGTTTACGAACATTTTAAAATCCTTTTAGTTTTAAATCTCGCAGGCCAGAGCGTAAAAGATGAAAGACGTGTGTTTCATCTTTTGCGCTCTGCGCTGAGACCGTGCAGCGCTTCAGCCCTGTTGTTGTGCTTTAAGTTTTATGGTGTGAACGTTTCTGTCCGCACTTCCACATCGTCCATCATAACTTTGGGATGCATCAGCTTGCTGTGAGAAATGGACCTCGGTGCTCTGATGTGCGTGGTCTAACCTCCCACGCCTGAAAATCATGTCACAACAGCGTGCATTTGTCTCCGCTGCAAATTAACATCAGCGAAATCACTTTAGCGCCCGTCGCAGCGCTGGAAAGCAGGTGACTAACTCAGATGGTGATGAACACCTTCACATTAATCAGCTGTAAGACTAGCTCGGATTTAATTGGTCAATTCCTCCAGAAAGCTCATCAGAGTCAGTCAGACCACACAGAACCAAGCTGTCACCTTAATTAGCTTTGTGTTTTCAAGTGGAACTTGAAAAATGTGGACTTCTTCCTTGTGTCAGGGAAACGAGGTGCAGTAGAGGTAAATATAATAGAGAAAATATGGCGTTGAACTTGTTCATTTGAAAGCCTGGACCAGAAGATTTGGATCAGGTGCAAACAGGTGTTTCAGAGGAGCTGCGGTAAAACTGTCAGTTTTGCTCATGAAGATGGTTAACGGTGGAAAATGAGGGTAGATAAATCTCCCCAGGCTGCATACGCCCTGTAATTTTTAATTAACAGAAATCTAATTACAATATTAATAGCATTTTGATTGTGCTGTGAAGTGCACTCGTATTACTGAGTTGACACCACTCTCTCAGGCGGCACCTGATGCTAGCACGGTGATGGTGACTGGAAACAACAGCATGTTGACTTTTGACTCTTCTGTCACGGATGTAAATAAATCCTTTACAGCACAAAGGACTCCCTGAAGCAAAATGTCAAGTGGAAACAGCCCCGATTAAATCACCCTGAGAGCAGATGTTGGGAATTTGTTTGCACTGGATTTGTTCTTTCTGCACACCACAAGGTGGTGTTTGCAGGTGGTGCTGTGTCCATTCAGTCGTGGTGCACATCTCTGCTCTTGAATGCAATAAAAAATAATAAAGTTCCTCTTCTGCTTTTTGGCATCAGATTTTCATGTGTTTAAGTTTGGCACCAAACTGGATTTTATTTCATTTCATTATTTAGTGCGCTTTGTTGTTTGTGCCAAAATATTCTCCTTTAGAAACATTAACCCTGCAGACAGAAAGTACAGTTTCCCAGTGTGAATGTTTAAATGATAAATAATTAATAAGTAAATAATTCCTGAGATTTCCATGCAGAGGTCTCAAATATAATGTGATGACCTCGTCATAATAATCAATATATGGAAAACAGGAGTCGGAGCTTGTTCAGTATTCAGTGAAAGTTTGGAAAGCTGAAAATATTCTCACCGAATCCTGCAGTCGAAATAATTCAGCCGTATGAAAACGTACTTTTAAACTTACAGGAACAAAACATTTTGATATTTATTGACATCATGTTCAGTGACTCAGACACACAGGAGAGCTCATTAGCATGATATCAGGTGGTGTGTCCTTGTGCATTTTAATGGCTGTGGCGTGCATGAATATGTATGTGTGTGTTTGCATCAGTGCTGCCCTCTCAAAGGGCACGGAGTCGGGTCTCGAGTGGACGGGAGCCACTCACGTTTGTCTGAATCAGATCCGTGTCAGCTCAGCGTGAGACCTCCTGCTCTTTGTTAGAGACGACACAAACACTCATTTTATTTCCTCTGCCAGCTCATCTCATCCTCTGACCCGACAACAGCAGCACAGCAGAGAGCCGTGCTTACATCTGGGAGGAAGGCTTATTTATTAAAAAATAAATGGATAATGGCAGTAGTAATAGTTTTAATAGTAGTAAAATCATCTATCATGCTGTACATGCATCTTGTTTTCTTTTCTAGATGGCGGCCTAAATTGAAGCCAAAAGTATTAAATTAGATGATCTCTATTGTTTTTAGCTGAGACAACTGCAGGAAGTAAAGCATCTAAGGACAGGAAAATGAGGGAGGGGGGGCAAAGAAACCAGGGACATTAGAAACCGAGGGAGGGAGAAAGTAAAGAGGATGAGTGGGAGACGGGAATGATGGTTCATGAATGAAGAACAATTAAAGAGGGACAAAAAGGAAGAAGGTATTATCAACGTGTGTGTGTGTGTGTGTGTGAGATAGCTCAGCCTTGACCTTTTGCAGATCCCCCATGATCCCTGTCTGGAGAGACTCTGCTGACAGCCTGGGCTGTAGTGGATTATGGGTAATGAGACATGGATTCACACCCTGCCTCGTGTGTGAGAGAGAGAGAAGGGGGTGGGGTGCGGGTGGTCAGTGTAAGTTTTTGTGTTGTCAGCTGACTTAGAGCCCCGTCACCCTTATTACCCCGTGGCGCAGGGGGTTGGGAATCGCATCTGGAACCGGAAGGTCGCCGGTTCGATCCCCGGGCTCTCTGTCCTGGTCGTTGTGTCTTTGGGCAAGACACTTTACCCTACTTGCCTACTGGTGTTGGCGATATGGCAGCCTCGCTTCTGTCAGTCTGCCCCAGGGCAGCTGTGGCTACAACTGTAGCTGCCTCCACCAGTGTGTGAATGTGAGAGTGAATGAATAGTGGCATTGTAAAGCGCTTTGAGGGTCCTGAAAAGCACTATATAAATCCAATCTATTATTATTATTATTATTATTATTATTATTATTTCTTCTCAGTTTGTGTGCGTTTGTCCTTTAATGTGTAAGATGAGACCTTTGGCCTTTCACGTGAGCCGAGTTTACTTCCTCACTTAATAAAAATATCCCTCTGAATAGAACCAGTCACACAATAGGAGAAACCCAGTGAGCCAGCATGTTGGCATCATGAAAGAGGAATAAAGGAAGACATCCGTGTGAATGTAAATGTACTTATTATATTTATCTCTCTACGTGTGATCAAACTACTTTGATGTTATAAAACAAGCTGCGCAGTTCTAGACATGCGGATCACTTTTTAAGCCTGTGCAACCTGTGAAGCTAGTGTCAGCTGTTACATTACGACTCCAGCCCTTCACCTTCTTGCTCCAAAAACCCTTCATAGCTGAAACGCTAATGGTGAAGCTTCAAAATGCGATCATCTTGTAGCATCGATGGTAGTAGTGTAAGCTGGAGTAAGCTAACAGTCTTTGGTTTTCTGCCTCTGAATTCAGCAGCTTTTCTTAGCGTTTGCCACAAAGTCAGAGTGAGTTCACTTTACAGGAACGTGCTTTCATTCTCATCATGGCTGGTGTGGAAAACCTTTTATTTACATCTGTGCTGTTTGCAGCTTGATGAGCGTCTGTCTGTGGTGACATCTGAGGT